GCGGACTAGAATCCACAATGCAGGGACCAGGCAGCAGGCATGGCACTGGAGCAGAAGCTGAGAGCTTACATACGATCCACAAGCGCAGGCAAAGAGGGGGGCTACTGGAAATGGCTTGGAACCACAAATCCCACCTCCAGTGACACATCTCCTCCAAAAAAGGCCACATCTCTTAATCCTTCCCAAACAGTTCCACCAACTGGGGACCAAGCATTCAAACACTTGAACTACGGGGGCCATGCTCATTCAAATGACCATAATCTCCATCCTTACACTACAGGCCTCTCATCATCTGGCTCTAGTGAACTGAATAAAAGAGCAATCCCAAGCATACCCAGCTGCTGGCTAGAGCCAGTCTCACATCTTTACCTTTCGAGGCTATCCTCTTCCAAAGTGATCTCCATGAATGTTTTTAGCTTCCTGTTCACAGTCTCTGCAACTTCCTTCAGCCTTGCACTTCTGTGTTTACCTGTAAGAAGATTGCACCGAGAAAGAAAAGCTCTCAACATCAGCACACACACACTCATGTACGCACACACTCTGCTGTGCACATGGAGTCTGTTTTGTGTGGTTTTGTTTTTTTTCCAGGGTAACCCTGGCTGACTGCAGGACAATTATCTCTTCCAGGGAGATGCTGTGAGAACACAGACATCTGTTGTGGGTGGGGAATCACAAGATAATGCAATCACCAGACAGTAGTGACACCCAGCACAATTCAGGTTCATCCACTGCTTACGTAACTGGCAGACACTCCGTGCCCACATCCCAGTGAGGCATGCCCCTTGCTCTGCAGAGCATAAGTGCTCTGTGCCTCTAAGCCAGGAGAAGTCACTCAGACAGGCCTTTTACAGTGCCCACACTAGGCCTAACAACCTTTTAATAAAGGCACCACAGACTGAGCGCCCTCACAATGAAATCTGTCATTTGCAACATTTGAAAACTCAAAACTTTTTGTCCGGCTTCTGTGTTTCAGATTTTGAAGTATTTCAAATTTTAAATTTTCCATTCAGGGATTATGGATCAGTGTGTTTCATATAAATAGCACAAAACCTATGAACTCTCAAATCTGAAAGGATTCTTGTCCTGAACATGTGGGTAAGAGATACTCAAGCTTTGTAAATCTTCATAAATGTGGTAGGCATTCCAGCTCGTGGGATAGGAGAGGTCTTTACCTGCAAAGTACTAACGTTGAAAGACATTTTAACTTCAGTATAACTTTTTGTTTATTTGTTTGAGGCAGGGTTTCTCTGTGTAGCTTTGGAGCCTCTCCTGGTACTCGCCCTGTAGACCGGGCTGGCCTCAAATTCAGAGATCTGCCTACCTCTGTCTCCCAAGTGCTGGGATTAAAGGCATCTGCCAACACTGCCTGGCTATGTCACTAGAAGTTAACCAAAAAAAAAAAAAAAGGACACTTGAATATAGTCAGCCTGCAAGGATGCCACTATATTTCACACTGAGCTGACATCTTGTAAGGATCACCAATTATTTTTCCAGTGCTACTTTCAAAATTACTCAAGAGACATGATGCCAACATGTCCATTGTCTAAAATTATTTGTGATACTGGATCTCACTAATGTTGACCAAATTCCTCAGTCAGAGCACTACTCTTGCCTCAGCTCCCTGAGTAGCCAGGTCTACAGGCCTGTGCTGTGGGCTCACCCAGATTTTTAAACCTAAGTAACTCTGGACAAATCAATAGAAAATCACTTCTGAGGTGGGCCTAGTGTCCCAGATCTGTAATCCCAGCAACTACCAAAGCCAAGGCAGGAAAACCCCAAGTTCAAGGCCCAACTGGGTTACAGAGTGAGTTCAAGGCCAGCCCAGGTAAGTTAGTCAGACCCTGTCTCAAAATTAAAAAAGGAGCTAATGACATAGTTATTATACTTATCTAGCTTGTACAACGCAAAACGAAGAAGAGGGAGGGAAGGAAGGAGGGAGGGAGATGGGGACCCAATTCTCAAGCACAGTGACATTTTACATGCACCCAACAGTGAAAGTGAAAGGGGCAGGAGCTATGATGCAGAGCAGGTAAAGCTCATGCAAAGACGGGGCCAGTCGACTGCATGGTATTCAGGTATTCAGAGGACACTGGGGAGTAAGGGGGAAAAGGCTGTGGGAAGCCTTTCCTGTCCTGGCAGAGAAGAGGGTGAAACAGGACAAATTCCCAAACATCTCTAACATTAGCAGGAAACAAGGACGTGATGGGTGATGCACCAGATGAAGGAGAAGAAATGTAACCAACCTTTGTTAATAACCATAACAATATGCACAACAGCTGTGAGGCACACAATGCCTTCAATATCACTGGAGGTTACACACGCCTTTAGTTCATCCAAAAATGACCTACAAAATCAGCAAACATCTGAAATTACTCCATATCCCTAGACTTATAGGAAGATAAGCATAGGCAACGTTTACCCACAACTATAAACACCTCTTTTCAGGGAGCATGAGGAATTGCCTGAGGCCCTCCATTACATGTACTACATGTGTCCGTTCTTGTGGGTGACATGTGAAAACCAGATGGTATGCACAGGAGAGCAGGAACACTGTGGCTACACACTCTACAGTCCCATGTACATAAGAGAGCTTTCATGGAATGCATTCACACTATACAGTGCCGCACGTGTTCCCTCTGTGTCTGCAATCCCCTGTGCATTACTACAAACCCTAGAATCCCAGCCCAGTGACACACGGACTGTGGAACCAAGGGTAGGTTATGTGCTGTGACTTGAATCCAGACTCTGTGGAAATGAAAACTTTTGTATTACTGGAACAGATGATGCCAGTTAGCTGGAGCTGAAGAAGGATCAGCTGTGATTAGCGAAATCTGTGGCTAGTAAAATCTGGAAAGTACTTCTACAGGGTCAGCACACAGAGGTTGAGGTTTAGTTGGCAGAGGGGTGGAGCTGGAGCAAGACTGCAACCCAAGCTGGTAGCCCAAAATGGTAATGTATGAGAGTGTCCCACATGGAACTAGTTTTGAAGGCATAAAGGGGGAGTGGGTCACAGAGGGCAGCTGAAGCTTGGCACCATATGGCAAAAGCTGGAATCTACACAGAGAGGCCAGGAAGACATGGGTGAAGGTAAAGTCCCAGCTGCAATGGAGACTCAACATACTGGAGGTGCCAGGATCTTGGGACAACCACCCAGAATAGCAGCAGATACTGCATAGAGCCAGCCTGAGCCTACAAGACAAACTGTATGTGGGATTGCCTGAGTCCTCTGGAGCCCAGTAGATCTTAAGGGAATTTGGTTGTATCAGACACTGAGCTACAAGATTTGGAGCTACACTGACCGATTTTTGTTTTGCTTAAGTGTTGTTTTTATGCCTTGCCTCTTCCCTCTTGTAATAACAAAAGCATATAACTTATTTTTTGTTTGGTTTGGTTTTTCAGGAGCCCACGGTTAAAAGAAATGTTACTTTTTTTTTTTTTTTTTTTTTTTTAAAAAAATTGG